GAATATTCAGGTGATTAAGTCTAACCTGAAAGCGGCCCAGGATCGACAGAAGAGTCTAGCAGACAGACATGCCATTGACCAGATGTATAATGTAGGTGATTGGGTATTTCTGAAGCTATCACCATGGAAGGGTATTGTGCGGTTTGGGAAGAAATGCAAGTTGAGTCCTAGGTACATTGGACCGTATATGATCACCAAGCGAGTCGGTGAGGTTGCTTACAGGCTTGAGTTGCCTCCAGAGTTATCCAAAGTGCACGATGTTTTTCATGTCTCTATGCTTCGTCATTATGTCTCAGATCCTTCTCATGTGATACCTCATCAACCTCTGGAAATTAATTCAGATTTGACTTATGATGAGGAGGCAGTGACTATTTTGGATTGGAAGGATAAGGTTATGAGAAATAAGATAGTGCGCCTAGTGAAGGTTTTGTGAAGAAATCATTTGGTGGTGGAAGCCACCTGGGAGACGGAGGAGCGTATGAAAGAGATGTATCCAAGGTTATTTTATGATTATTAGTGGATTGTAATTATTATTCAAATTTAGAGGATAAAATTTTCTTAAGGGGGTAGGTTGTCACAGCCCGTCCCGAGATATTTTTCTTGATGGCGTGCAATGTCAATTCTACCCTTGAGAGTTGAGTTGTGGGTTGTGTAAATAAGCTAAGGATTAAACAATTGAGTTTAATTATTTTCTTCCTAACCTTTTGGACCCAGTCTCATCTAGTACTCTAGTTGATTTGGACCCAATCTCATCTAGTATTTCACATTTAATCTCGCACTTACACCTTATCTCATCTAGTACTCTAGTTGATTTGGTTTTTGTTTATTCGTAATTCCTTATATCTCTATTGCTTCCGCACTGTGCACATGGTTACGTCACCCTCACGTGACGGCCAGCATGCCCTGATTCAAGTTGGGGTGTGTCATTGTTGCCCAAATGAAGGAAAGATTCATCAAAGGCAATAAGACTAAACATATATCTCCAAATTTTTTCAGTGCACATGAGCTTGAAAAGGCTAAAGTTATTACAGTTAGACAAATCCGTTCCAATGAAAATCTGGCAGACCTGTTCACCAAGTCTCTACCAAAGTGCACGTTTCAGAAGCTAGTGCAGGGAATCAGATTACGTCGACTTACCAATCAACTAAATTTGAAGAATGCGGAATCAGATGGAGATACAATTCAGGGGGAGCATCTATGATACATGCATGTTGTACTCTTTTTCCTTCGATTAAGATTTTTCCCGCTGGGTTTTTCCTATCAAGGTTTTAATGAGGCAACATAAAGCATGCTTAACACTATATCAAAAATCCGGGTAAAGTTGTACTCTTTTTCCTCCACTATGGTTTTTTTCCCATTGGGTTTTTCCAAGTAAGGTTTTAACGAGGCAACTGATGTTGATATGTGGGCATCCAAGGGGAAGTGTTGTAATAATTGTAATAAGAATGATTGAATGCCCACATGGGAATAGTAGGGAGTTTGTTGTGTGGTACATTTTCAAAAGAGAAAAATCACGATGTTGTTGGATTTGTCATGGGTGTGACTTTCCATTCACTGTAAACTTACAAATGTGGCTATATAAATAGATCACTCCGTGAGTGATCAACACACAGCAATTGAAAGAGAAAATTACCGAAAGCCATAATATCAGTATCCCTCCCCTCCTCCTTTATCTGCAATCCTTTTGTGTTAGAGCTACGAAACTAAATAGTATGATATTTCGCACCCGCTTCATTCTTGTCCTTAGCAAAGGTTATCTCTTTAAATTTTTCCTATTTATAACATCTAAAAATAATTTTATTTCGACACTATAACAAATGTTCCGTTATTTTTGTATTATTTAAACCATGCTAAGTTAATTCAACTTAATCCTGTCACTAAATACAACGGTCAAGTGGTATTCTGCTTCATTTGTATGTGAGAATTTTTAAGTTTCGATTCTGGCCATATGTGAATTTGAACCACATTATTGTTAGCCTATTGTGAGGCTAAGTCCGCTATCTTTTCAACGTAGATAATATCATTTGTTAAAAAAAAAAATCAGCTTAATCCTAAAGCTAAGTAGGCATTGCAACAACATGCAGCTGTATATGCAGAAACAGTCCCACAACCTCCAATCCAAAAGGTGGCGATGGGTTGCTTCTCCTTCTCCATCTCATTGTCCGCCCATGAGATTTAAAATCCCCAATCTGCACCTCTTCTTTCCCAAAACCCTAAAACCCCTCACCGCCACAGAATCCCAAATCCGAACCCGAAGTCTCCCTTTTGACTCGTTGCAAGACCTCGACGACGCCCTCTGCTCCAACCACCACCAACAACAACAAGAGCAACAAACTTTCTCCTATACGCCGCCGTTGCGCTGCTTGACTGGTGAGTCGCGCATCGAGCGAGCATGGGATCAGTGGTCGAAACTGGGGCGGCCCAAACTGATTGTTGCCCCAAGTACGGGGCCCGATAGTGGACAACTCGGAGCTCCCGTTTTGGATGCTCTGCAGCAAGTACGGGGCCGACGCCGCTCATTTTCACAGAGAGTGAGAAGTACCGGGAGCAAGAATTTACCACTTGCAAGGTAAAATTAATTGAATTTGGCGATTAATGTAGTAATTTTTTGTTAATTGGTGGATTAAATTTTGAGAGTATTGCAGGAGGACCGTCCATTATTTGTTCAATTTTGCGCTAATGATCCTGAAGTTCTGTTGGACGCTACAAAGAGAGTGGAGACTCATTGTGATTATGTCGACATTAATTTGGGGTAATTGCTCATCCAATCTCAGATAATTTTTGTTACGTAATTTATGAATGAAATTATGATTAGGGGTGTTGTGTTTTTAATATAGTGTTAGATTGTTAGTGGGTGATTAACAATGGAGAAATGTTCAAGTGTTGGAGTGAATTCTTGTTTACTTGTTGGCAAAGTATTAAACAAAAAATGTTAAACTAGCATTAGAAACTTACCGCGCAAGCAACTAATTCGAATTCTCGAATATCCTTTTGAGTTAATGTGGAATTTAGGGATTAAAAGCCTCAAGTTGTTTGAGTTAGGGTGAATTTTCGTGCAGGTGTCCTCAGCGTATTGCGAGGCGGGGGAATTACGGAGCTTTTCTGATGGATAACCTTCCTCTTATAAAATCTCTAGTAGAGAACTTGGTTCAAAACCTGAATGTGCCTGTGTAGTGCAAAGTCCGCATCTTTCCAAATTTGGAGGATACGATCAAGTACGCTAGGATGCTAGAGGATGCCGGATGCTCACTTTTAGCTGTCCATGGCCGGACCAGAGATGAGAAAGACCAGAAGAAAGTCCAGGCCAACTGGGAAGCCATCAGGGCCGTCAAGAATGCTCTCAGAATCCCTGTCCTTGCCAATGGTAACATCAGGCACATGGATGATGTTCGTGACTGTTTGGAGGCGACTAGTGCTGATGGGGTGCTTTCCGCAGAGTCTCTTCTTGAGAATCCGGCTCTCTTTGCTGGGTTTCGAACTGCTAAATGGGCAGCTGAGAATGAAGAAAGCAGGAAAGATGGGAAGTTGGACCAGGCAGATCTTCTGGTGGAGTATTTGAAGCTCTGTGAACAATACCCTATGCCTTGGCGGATGATTCGCACTCATGTGCACAGTATGTTGGGAGAATGGTTCAGAATTCATCCACACATTAGAGAAGACCTCAATGCACAAAACATACTCACTTTTGGATTTCTTTACGATATAGTAGACCGGCTGAGAGAGCTAGGCGTAGGCGTTCCACTTCATCTAAAAGATACCAATGCTGAAACTGTTTCTGCAAATCGGTTGTCTGTATGAATTTTGGGATACTAGCTGAACGAGGTGCTGTTCCCGATATAGGAAAATCTCAGCCATGGCGGAATCAGGAATCGAACTTTCCGTTAGGTTTTCGTCATCATTTTGTTTGAGATTATTAGGTTAGAATGTTGTAACGTTGGATTATAAGATGCACCTCCATAGTATATTGCATTCTTGTGTGATTGCTGATACAGCATCTCAGTCTACGTCCACTAAAAAAAGGAGAAAAACATCCCGTTCTGTGACTAATATTTTCAGATTGCTTCGTGTTTCGGTACCCGAATGAGGACTTGTTCATGTTCATTTAGCCGTATTAAACCTATTTGGGATCCTATTAAAAAAATTTCATCATATTTTAATAATATTTTTTTAAAACAATTTTCTTTTAAGACTAAAAAAATTCTTTAGTATAAAATTTAAAATTATTTTTAAATCTTAAAACTTAAACTGGACAAAGAAATCAAAAAAGGAATTGCATGAGAGGGATAAAGAGGAAAACAGAAGGAGGAAAAAAATAGAGGATTGGAGAGAAAGAAGGAAGAAAGAGGATTAAAGGAGATAGAGAGAAGGAGGAGAGAGAAAGAAAATGATGATCGAAGGAGAAAAGAGAGGGGTTAGAGAGGGGAAAGAAGAGAATGAAGAAAGCCGACTAGAGGAAAGAGAGGAGAGAGAGAAGAAAAATAAGAGCTAAAAAAATTTCACCATATTTTCATAATATGTTTTTAAAATAATTTTCTTTTAAGACTAAAAAATTTATTTAATATAAAATTTAAAATTATTTTTAAATCTTAAAACTAAAACTGGACAAAGAAATCAAAAGAAGGAATTGCATGAGAGGGATAAAGATGAAAACGGAAGGAGGAAAAAAATAGAGGATTGGAGAGAAAGAAGGAAGAAAGAGGATTAAAGGAGATTGAGAGAAGGAGGAGAGAGAAAAAAAATGATTACTGAAGGAGAAAAAGAGGAGTTAGAGAGGAGAAAGAAGAGAGAGTGAAGAAAGCCGAATGGAGGAAAGAGAGGAGAGAGAAGAAAAATGAGAGCTAAAAAAAACTCACGTTTAGTGTTTTTAGAGAATAAAATTTTTTTTAGTCTCTTAAGTTCAGTTTTTTAAAATAATTCTATCAAACAAATTTTTAAAGCCTAAAACTTGAAAAATATTTATAAGTTTTAAAAAATCGAATTCAAGTAAAATACCAAACACGTCCTAAAAATTTTGTTGGAATTCAATCGCTTTCCAATTACAAACCCCCAATCTTGGGGGTAGGGGGTTGGTCATTAGCATTCGATGTGAACCAATTCAAAAAGTAGTTTCACCAAATTAACAGGATTCGTTCACTATATACAATAGATGCTAAAGTGCTTCATACACTAATATTTCGACTATTAACCGAAGTTTGTTTGGACCTTGTTAACCAAATGTTCTCCATAAACAGCTCTTTCGAATTTCTTAGATCCACCTGTCTTATCCACACAAAAATCCAAAGGCTCCACTGCTGTATCAAAATTTGTCTGTTAACACACGAAAAAGCATGTACAGAGGAGGTTAGCACCAAAATATGAACAATAACAAAGAGAACAGAAGCTGAAATAACGTGTGGGGAACGCAATACAAGAAGAAAGAACGAGCGAATAAATGAACCAGCTAATCTCATACCTCATAGAAATACGCTACACAGACCCGGTATTTTGGAGCGGTGTTGATAACTTGATGCAAAGTGGAATCGTATAAACCATTCGAGTAAATCTGCACTCATTCCAGGGAGAGAATGACTTAGTACTTAATCCAGGAGTCGGTACAAATGTTAGGAACAATGAATACACAGATTAGTATTACCTTTAGCATGTCTCCGATATTGCAGACAAATGTCCCAGGAACAGGAGGAGCTGATATCCACTCACCGGAATGGTTTCTCACCTTCAACAAGTCATTCAACTCAACTTGTATGGAAACTGGAGCAGCAGGATGCTAACAACATATAACACTAGGAAGGGAATAATCTTACCTGAAGTGCAGTTATATCGTCATCCTGATTAACCAATGTCAACAAACCTGTAATGCAACAATTTAGAAGACTGGGATTTATTGATTTTCCTAGGCCACTACTTGCTAAAGGCAAACAAAATTTACCATAATCAGTGTGAGCTCCACTGCAATTGTTTGCCCGCCAGACATGATCAGAAGGACGCAATTGGTAGAAAAGAGAGGAAAGGACATCAATAACATATAACTTAGATATAAAGGACAGTGCAAGCATCTTAAGCAGCACTAAAGCATTACCATCCGACGTCATTTTTTGGAATGTCCGAGGCATTTGGAGAGCGTGCAGCTGGGTAACCAATAAGACGCATCACCCAAAATGCATCTCCAGCTCTATCACCTTCAAATTCATATGGTGATCCACCCAGTGCTAAAGCAATTCCACGCATGATCTTTTTTGAAAGGCCTGAAAGGAACGAGAAACAAAAGCTTGTAACCAGGAGAATATGGAAAGATAAAAAGCATGGAAAAAAGGGAAAAAGTTTGTTATCCATGGAAAACATACATGTGCAAAGGCTGATATATTCCTCCATTAGTACCTTAAATTCTGGGGGATTATCTGGCCTGCACAAAGGATCATAAGTCGAAATGAACAACTTCAGTAACACTATACAAGAATCAGTTGTGAAGTCTAAGTCTATAGTAAGCTCGAAAGGGATAAACATGGAGTATCTAGACCGAACACTAATTCCAGAATAAGCCAACAGAAGGATAGACATGTAGTCGCAATTCAATTTCCAAAACGGTATCAATTTTGTGTACTGTTGAATGAGTCAAGAGCAGCATTGCGATTACAAAACATAAATGAATTTCGTTCAATGGTGATCAGGACAATGGGGTGTTCCACGCCTCCAATCACTACGCAGAACTTTTCTCCTTAAATTTGAACAGCAGTCCTTACTAGGGCTAGACTTGTGCAAAAGCTCTGCTACACTAATTTAACTAAGGTGCGCATACAGTTTCATATACAATGTTAGATCAGCTCTATTTTTCATATTTACATTGACAATCTTTTCGTAGTCCAGATAAGGATCAAAATTTACTTGAAATACCAAACTCGAATGCGTTATTCATAAGAAAATCTGTAATAGTATACTTAGCAGGGAAGGCCTTAATTTGTGCCTACCATTGGTTAGGTCCTTCCATTGGTTTTCCAAGATCTCCATACATCCCTGGTTTCAATTCTTTATAGCACTATTACAGGTGAAACAAAATGGTAATCAGTAAGGCAAAAAAAGAAAAGTATACAAAAGCATATTCGCATTACTTTTACAATGGGTAAAAGCGCTTTTAAATAGCTTAATTACTTCTGGCAACGTTTGACTGAAAAGCATTTGTAAAATCAAGACATACATCAATAGCTTCATGCATGTCAGGTACACCTTTGGTAATATTATCTCCAATTCTCTGATATCCTCTGCATGGAAATCAAGCCTTCTCTTAATACAAATCACACATACACTAACCATCATATATCATAAAATTAATCCTCATTCACAAAGATGCATATATATAATTATATATACCTGAATCCGCTATCAGCAGACATTGTGATGTTGAGTTTTTCTTCGTATGGAAGCTCAAAAAACTTGCGTGTCAGATTCTTGACTTGTTTCAGCAGAGTCTTGGGAATACCATGTCCTTTCTGCCAAATTACAAAAACCACCAACCCCATAAAACTCAAAACCCATGAAAATAAATGGCATATCTTTCATGGGTTTAAACTAAATTCGAGAGAATTTCATTCAAAGTACCACATAGAAAAAGCCAGCTTCTTTACAAGCTCGATCCAATTGTCTGACAACTTGAGCGACATCCGGGTCCTGGCCCATTTTTGGATCATCGGATTTGGCCAAAAGAGGAGCAATATCTGCAGTAAGATCCAAAATTAAATACAAAAATCAATGAAAAATTCAATCTCTGGGTTTTTGGGTACTATTTGATTTGGTTTTTAAAGTATTTACCGATGATGGGTATTGACTTGAAGTCGGTGGCCATGGCGGTGACGAACGACGGAGGATGGTAGACTCTCGCAGCAGCTTCAGTACTTGAACACGAGCTGAGAAAAATGTTTAAGAATCGTTTTTAATTGTTGGATTGATTGGAATCAGATAGTAAGCGGTTTGTCCCGTTTCCCTCTGGCCTTTGCTTGTTTCGGTTTTTGCCATATTTGGCTTGTTTTGCTCGGTCTTGTTCTTGTGTTTTTTTTTCCCAAATAGTAAGTAATGCATTTTATAAGTGGATATATCAACTTTGTAGTCCACTCATATTATATGCACTATTTGTATTTCGAGCATGCGTAAAAATTTGTTACTAAATCATATGATATTTACTAATATTTAGTTTCATATGACCTTTCGCACTTTTTATTCAATATGAGAATTGTACCAATCACAATCTTACTAAGTATATATATTCTTCACCACAATACAAACTTCCCATTAGTGCTGCGGTGCCTTTCCTTTTCCAGCGTGAAAGTTCCACATTTTGAAGGGATACACTCTGGTGTGTAGGTTTCTTTTTTACTGATCTTCCTTCTCCCTAACAACTAATAATTTAACATATTAACACTATCGTTTGTAAAATAAAAAAAGTCACCATATTGTAATATATAATTAATGTATAGGCTTATTTATGGTCGTACCCCATTAAACTCAAGCTCGCTATCACTTAACCCCTCAAAAGTATACTACATGTCTTACTATACCCTATTTATAAAACTCAAGCTCGCTCTCACTTAACCACTCAAAAGTATACTACGGAGGGTGTATTTAATTGAGATTTTGATGGATTTTAATTCTTCTAATGAATCTAGGGGTATTCAATTAAAATTTTAAGTGATTCTCTGAAATTCAATATGTATTAAATCAGGATTTTAAAATAATTTATTAAAATATTTAGAAATCTGGGTGTATTCAATTAAGATTTTAAAGATGTTTATAACATTCTATGAGTATTCAATAGAATTTGATTTTAAAGAATTTGAAAGAGTTGAAGTGTAACAACCCGTCCCAAATTTTACGATTTTATAAAGTTTAAAAGAGTGAATTGACGAAAATACCCCTAATGGCGAGAATGTTAACTATCGTGTAGTGAGACGTATGACCCATTCTTTTAGCTCATCCTTGTAATACTTAACGATACAAGCGCATGGGAAGCGAAACCTAATTCAGAGCTACGATGAAGATTTTACGAAACATCGATTACCGATGACATTTTAGTAAATTCACTATTCTAGATATGCCATGATTATTTTAATATTTTCAGGGGAGATTTTTTTTCTTCTTTTCTGTCTGGTGGGAACTCACCCACGTGGAATCCCCACTCCAACTATCTCGTGTCCCCATATTCGGACTTGGATCCTCTCTTAAGCCCAAGGAGAGGATCCTCCTGACCAAAGGATTTGGGCCGTTGGATGAAAATCCAATGACTATAATTATTATAACTTTAAAGGGATCTCCCTGTTTGTAGCCGTTGGATTTTCATCCAACGGCCCAAGTCATTTGCTCAGGAGGATCCTCTCTTTGGGCTCAGGAGAGGATCCAAGTCCCCCATATTCTCTTAGACCTCTCATTTTTTACCACCTCACATCTCTCAAACTTTCAACTCTTTTCCTCCCTTCTTCCTCGGCAAGCACCGAGAGGGTACAACCACCTCGAACCACCACCACCCGTCATCTTCGGTGAGCCAAACCTTCAAGCCACCACCAAATCTCTCTACGTCGATGAAGGTTATCAACGTTCCATCCCATAACTAGAACTAAGGTTATGAACTTGAACCCCATAACTCAACTTCCATATTTTCTCGGCGAGACCATGATTTTCCCGACGAACCTCTACCGTTCACGGCCATGGTAAGCCTCAGGAATACTCTAAATCTTATACTTTTGTCTTTGTGGTTTGATTCTAAGTGCTTATGTATTTTGAACTAGTTTTATGATAGAAAATAGCTCGGGGAAACTATTTCCCAAATTCCAGCAGAGTCTGCAAGTTTCAGACCTTTTTTCGACCAAGTCCGGCCACGGCGAGAGACCACGATGGTATAATCTTACTCCTTACTCCTTAGCTTCAATTTGAATATTTATACGCTGAAAATGGTTGAGTTTTACAAGGATACACTATAAGAATGGGTCATACGTCTTGCTACACAACAGTTAACGAAAGTCAACATTCTCGCCTTTAGAGGTTGTGAACACGGAAATTCCTGAAACAAGAACAATGTGTACAAAGAAAGATTTTGGTGTTAATGGATTTGTAGGGTTGCAATCTCTTTATAACTTGATCCTTTGATTCGATCTCCGTAAGGTGTTTATTTGTGGATGTTTTGTTGATCCAAGGGCCGTCGAGGCTTGATCTTGGATGAACTGTTGGAAGTTTCTTCAAGAGCCCTCGGGGCTTGATCTTGAAGGTTGATGGAAGTTTCTTCAAGGTCATTTGGGCTTGATCTTGAAGGTTTGAGGATGAACATATCTTCAAGGGCTTTTGGGCTTGATCTTGAAGAATGGATGTGTGGATTTGTTGATGTTGTTGATCCAAAGGGCCGTTAGGGCTTGATCATAGGATGAACAGATGATGAATGATAAACATTTTTTTTCAAGGGCTGTCGAGGCTTAATCTTGAATTGGTGGAAGTTCTTCAAGGGCCGTTGGGGCTTGATCTTGAAGGAGAATTTGAAGAAGAACGAAGAGGGTTTTCTTGATCCTTTGGGATTTGCTTGAGAGCTTTAGAGTTTCAAAGCTTCAAGGTGTTTGTGTGATGTGAATTGGTGTTTTTTTTAAGGATGCTTGATACCTTGATGGAGAAGCCTATTTATAGGCTTTGAGAATGAATCACCACCACAAAAATTTCCCACTTAAGCACCATTACCTAATTTTCCCACTTAATGCAATATTGAAATTGAAGTGGTCTAACATATGGCCTAATTTCCCACTTAATACCATTTTAAACTTGAAGTGGTCTAACTTATGGCCTAATTTTCCCACTTGATACAATTTTAAACTTGAAGTGTGCTTGCTTTGTCATTGCCCAAATGAGAAAAACTTGTTTTGATCCGTAATGGATTGAAATGTGCTTACTTTGTCATTGCCTAAAATGAGAAGAAAAACTTGTTTTCATCCATAATGGATTGAAGTGTGCTTGCCTTGTTATTGCCCAAAATGAGAAGAAAAACTTGTTTTCATCCATAATGGATTGAAGTGTGCTTGCCTTGTTATTGCCCAAAAATGAGAAGAAAAACTTGTTTAATCCTCCAAGGGTATTTCTTCCAATTTGTTGAGTCACATGCCATGTGTACAATTGTGTAACACGTAGCGCATCCCATGTATGCTGTGACACATCAAAACTTTAATGCGTTGGTGAAGATTTATTTACCGAAAATTCGTTGTCTACAAATGCCCCCACTTCAAGGCACGTCATATACATGTGCTTGTCACATGTAGAAGATACGTTTTGAAGTCCCTTAATGTAGATGTCGATCCAAGGGCCGTCGAGGCTTGATCTTGAATTGGGTTGGAAGTTTCTTCAAGGGCTTTCAGGGCTTGATCTTGAATTTGCCTTGAAGATTTTCTAGTTTCCTCCAATTGTTGATTTTCCACATGCTTAATCTTGAACTGTGTTGATGCACAAAACCGGATGGTCTTGGTACAACATAAATCCAACCGTGAATCTGCAATAAATGTAAATAACACAAGATGTATCGTGGTTCACCCCAAGGTTTGGGCTACGTCCACACTGATTGTATTGTATTTCTCTGTTGAAGAGGGAGAGAGAGAGCTTAGAGCTTAGGGGGTGTCAGGAAGCTTAGGGTTTGTGAGGGTGAGGAGGCCCTTTTATAGAATAAGGGCTCCTCCCCTAATTACATATTTGCCCTTTCCTTTATTACATAATTACATTTAAGTCCCTGGAGTATTTATACGAGGTCTAAATACGAGGCCCTAAATATGGTATAAACAGTAGTTCCCCAAGTCTTCAGTCAAGAGAGTATTTTGGCTGGAGACTTGAAATTCAGTCCATGTGTGGGCCAAAGTAACTAGATGCTGTTCTTGAACTGATGTTCGATATAAGGCAGTGCTCAATCTGAAATGACGCTCAACTAGAAGTAGCACACGCTGCGAGGCTGCTCGGCTCGTGGCTTATGTTGCCTTGGTTAGCTCGGTTTGCGGCGTTTGAAAGTGAAGGAGTCCCTTTTATAGAATAAGGGCTCACTCCTCAATACATGGATGATGGGTTAGAGTTGATGCTCTCTAATGGTGGTGAGGGGAGTCCCTTTTATAGAATAAGGGCTTGCTCCTCAATACATGAATGATGGGCTAGAGTTGATACTCTCTAATAATGGTGAGGGAGTCCCCTTTATAGAATAAGGGCTCGCTTCTTAATACATAAGTAATGAGCTAAGTCCCCCAAGTATTTTTCATAAGGTCCGGTTGAGGCCTAATATTTGGTACATAATGTAATCCCCCAAGTCTTCGGTCAATAAAGTCTGTTGGCTGGAGACTTCAAATTGAATCCGTGTATGGGCCGAAGTGGCGGTTGTTCAGAGGTGGTATTTGTATACCCTGCACTGAAGCTTTGTAGGTGAAGCTTTTGTAAGTGAAGCTTTGAAGCTAGAGCTCTGTAAATGAAGCTTTTGAAGCTAGAGCTTTTGTAAATGAAGCTTTTGAAGCTAGAGCTCTGTAAATGAAGCTTTTGAAGTTGTAGCTCTGTAAATGAAGCTTTTGAAGCTAATTTTCATGAGTGATGCTCATGAATATTTGATTGACATGAGTGATGCTTATGGATGTTGACATAAGTGATGCTCATGAATGTTAACATGAGTGATGCTCATGAATGTTGACATGAATGTTTATGTATGATTGTCATGAGTGATGCCTATGAATGTTTATGTATGAATGACATGAGTAATGCTCATGTATAATTTGGAGTACTGGGCGTACTTTTGATCACCTGGTTGGTGGCATGAAGGAAAGTACGGGTTGTACATTTCATCACCTGGTTGGTGGCATGAATGGCTAGTTGTCAAATGATATTAGAGTACGGGGTTGTACATTTCATCACCTGGTTGGTGGTAATAGCGGCGGGTTGCCGAATAATTTTGGAGTACTAGGCGTACTTTTGATCGCCTGGTTAGAGCTGTTTTGGGCTTATAGGCCTTCGCTGTTGGAAATGTGCCCTAAAGCCAATCATATGATGATACTTTACGGACATTTCACATGTTAAACTAA